ATTTGTAATTGTTGGTTGCTGTAAGAAGGAAGAATTTTTTTTAACAGACTGTCTTGCAATGGATCTGGTGAACTGACCTACTTTGACCAAAAACACTCTGCCGTTCTTTAACTTTGAGTTTTTCTAAAGATGTCAGGATCATGTCTTGTACTGAGTTTGGTGTTGTTTTCAAAGTAAAATGCATTGATAATAACTGCCCTTTATTTTCGCTGTTATCCTTATGATTGCATTTGCCTTGTCTTTTTGTCTCTTTACTTTATAATTGTAAGTCTGGGAGGAATAACGAATTTATTTTAGTTTATTGCATTACATTTTCAAACAAATTCAATCTGTTGGCACAATTTAAAACAAAAAATAAACATATACAAAAGGACTAGGGTTAAATAAAAAATATTTCTAAAACATACAGCTTCTCCACATAGCCTTTACTTCCTTTCAGCAACACCAATCTTGGCGAATGTATCTTTCAGCATTACAGAAAATATATCATTAATAGACAAATAACAAAAACTGGTGAGAAGATGTCAGTTACAAATATATAAGATATGGATTACATAAAAACAGAATAGTTTTTTGTTGTTTTTTTTATAGATAGGAGGAATATTTAAGTATCATCTATACCTAATTTTTTAGTAATTAGGGTTTTATTTGTTGCATCCAAAACTAATGAGAAACTGGTACAGAAGTGAGCTTCTGACTGCACAGCAGTAGCTCTATATCACAAGGAAATGGAAGAAAAACAACACTGAGAGGTATAGTTTTTAATATTATACTAAATAATTGTACAATTTATTTAAAAAAGAAAACTTTTAACTTTAAACAATCAGGCTCTTTTTACTTATTGTCCAATTTAAAAATATCAATGTATTTGTTCTCTTTATTGTTTCTCTGTTATGTTGGGAAATGTCTTGTTCTGAATTAGTAACTTTACTGTTATTAAATGAACTTTTTATTTTTACTTTAATTTTTTTTTACATATTTCGAAAGCTAAATAAAGTAAATACTTTTTCCTGTTTAAAGAAAAACAGATTTAAGGAAAACAAATTAACTTGTGCTGTTTTATGAGACAAGCTGTTAGGCTGCAGTACCCCACCGTGCCACTGGATGGCGCGCGCGCAGTTGGCTGGTTGCTCTTCGGACGCTGAGCTGCAGCTTTACTCCATCATCTCTAGTAAACATTAGGTTCCAATAATATATTTCACATTTAACCAAACAATTGATCCCTGCTGACCGATTCGATTCTTCTCTACCGAAGTAACATCATTTATTTCCACCAGCGGTAGGTTTTTATCCACATTTGCATCATTTATCGGTTCTACAGAAATCAATGGAAGAAAATAGATGGAGTTGGTGGATAAATAACGCGTTAGCTGCTAAGAAATTGGTTATTATGTCAACGTTTATTCTTTTTTTACAATCTGTGGCTGTAAAGTGAGGAAAAATGTTTTTTCTTTGCACTTATTTCTGGTCTTTGTCCGCAACCTTTGCGTAAATTAGATTTCCTCCCAGTGTGTCTGTTCTGTTTCCCATCAGAGCTCCTCCCTTAGAGATGCTGCTCAGAAAGCATCATCTATTAATCATTTCTGAAGCCTTTAGTGCTAAAATATAGACTAAAACCAATGATTATCGCAGTTAATGTTATTCCAACAGCTTTTTCTTTGACATGTCTAAAGATAACCAGTTAATTTGGATTATTTTTAATTATTTATGTTTGAATATGTTTCTTTTTTAGTCAGAAAAAGGATCAACAAACATGTTCTACACTTGTGGTCCCAATGAAGCCATGGTGGTGTCAGGTAACACCTCTATCTATGTCTGCATGAATATTTATTACCTCTAACAGAACCGCAGCTCTTTTCCTTCCTGTGGGATAAATCTGATTATTTTACATATTTGACTTAAAGTGGTTTTATTGGCTCCTTTTTTTATTCAAAGATTAATATAAGAGAACCAGAAAGGTGATAAAACTTGTGGTTTAGGATGAATCTGTTCATAAATAACCTAATATCTGTGTATATTTTTATATGATTTATAATTCTGTTTCCTCTCAGGTTTCTGCCGTTCTCCTCCGGTGATGATCCCCGGAGGCCGAGTGTTTGTCATCCCCTGCATTCAGAAGATACAGAGGTAGAAATAAACTCAGCTTTGTTAAAATTCCTCATGTTAACGTGTCTTAAACTCATATTAAACATCACTGGTCTTTGCTAAAACAATTCAAACAGAAAGGATGTAAACAGTACAGAGTTTGAATGAAGCACAAAATTCAACAACTTCTGAAATTAACAGATTTTAAAGATAAAAAATTGACTGATTCTTTATTAGAAGTGGTAGACCTGCCTTGTATAGGATCAATCTGTATTTATGTAATTATAAAAACATCCATCTTTATTTGAACTGTTATTATCAACCCTGTATTTCCTCCTTTAAAATGATGGTTGGAACAGATCCCACAGGGGTCTGGAGGTCTATATTTCACATTTTGTCCCATTTTATTTATCATTCAGTTTTATTCCATACTGTAATCATAAAGATAATTTTAATTATCTGTGTGGCAGCTGGTTTCTATCCCCATCTGCTGAGTGCCTGTTAGCACCAATGGCAGAAAGGAAGCGGAAATGAACCACAGTAACATCATCCATTAGAGCCACTTCCACTCTATCAGTGTTTCCTCTGTCTGCTCCTCCAGGATTTCTCTGAACACTCTGACTCTGAATGTGAAGAGCGATAAGGTCTACACCCGCCACGGGGTGCCCATCTCTGTAACTGGGATCGCTCAGGTCAGTCAGGGGGTTTCAGACGGCGCAATGTAGCACAGTAGGTTGGTTTAGGAGGAAAAAACAGCTTTAAACCTTCTTATACACTGGAAAAAATCCAAATCTAGATAAGTCATTTTTTCTTACAATAAGTGCATTTGTTCTTGAATTGAGGAGCTAAAAGAGACATTTTGCCAATGGTACAAGACAATTTAGATTTAAAATAAGAATAAACAATTGCTTTGTCTTATTTCAAGTGCATATTATCGAAATATCTTATTTTAAGAGTAAAATGCTCATTCCATTGGCAAACTATCTCATTTACGTATTCGAATCAAGGGTAAATACACTTATTTTAAGAAATTTTTACTTATTTCTAGGTCATTTTTCCAGTGTAGGTGTTTTTTATCAGTCGTTGGAGCAATCAGTTAAATATGTTTACATCTAGTAGAGGGGTTTGTTTCTAAAAATGACCCAATATTAAGTTTTGTAATATCTTTTAAAGTAGTTAATGGAAGTTAGGATAGAAAAACAATTGCTGTTTCAAAATCTGCATCTTTAGGAGGATAAAAGTCACTGTTAGCTTATTTTCTGTTTATCAATCCACTTCCTGTTTTAATAAATGTCCAACTTTTTCCTGCAGATGAAGATCCAAGGCCAGAACAAGCAGATGCTGGCTGCAGCCTGTCAGATGTTCATGGGGAAGTCTGAGGCTGAAATCGCTCAGATCGCCCTGGAGACGCTGGAAGGACACCAGCGGGCAATCATCGCCCACCTGACTGTGGAGGTAAAGCAACCTGTTCCTCATCTTACAATTAATTTTTTACTTAACACCTCTGCTGCTAAGATAACAATAACTTGACCTAATATAGGAGATCTACAAGGACAGGAAGAAGTTCTCAGAGCAGGTTTTTAAGGTGGCGTCCTCTGATCTGCTCAACATGGGGATCAGCGTGGTCAGCTACACCCTTAAGGATGTCCACGATGATCAGGTTTCAAACTTTTGTTTCCTTTTGACCAAATATTGAAAATTAATCAGAGGAAATCTGCATCTAAACATTTGGGATCCACAGGATTATCTGCACTCGCTGGGAAAAGCTCGAACCGCTCAGGTGCAGAAGGACGCTCGCATTGGAGAAGCTCAGAACAAGAGAGACGCAGTGATCAGGGTGAGATCACTGCACGCCTGCAGCTTCATCCTTACTGCTCAGAGTTATTATGATGGAAGATATGATGGATGTTCTCTGCCTTCTGGTCGGCTTGTTTCTTGACATTCTGTTGATCTTTCCCATCTCCCCTGCAGGAGGCTCACGCTATGCAGGTAAAGATCTCAGCTCAGTACAAGAACGAGATCGACATGGCGAAGGCCCAGCGGGACTACGAGCTGAAGAAGGCGACCTACGACATGGAAGTGAACACCAAGAAGGCCGAGTCAGAGATGGCGTATCAGCTTCAGGTGTGAAGGAGATCTGCAGCACTTTAAAATGGAGTTTATTACATATTACATATGAATGCATGTTGATTTCCTTCTTTTCTTTGCTCCAGGTTGCGAAGACGAAGCAACGCATCGAGGAGGAGACGATGCAGGTCCAGGTGGTGGAGCGGACGCAGCAGATCATGCTGCAGGAGCAGGAAATCATCCGCAGGGAGAAGGAGCTGGAGGCCAAGGTGAAGAAACCTGCAGAGGCTGAGCGGTACCGCCTGGAGAAGCTGGCCGAGGCTCAGCGGTGAGCAGCAGCTTTATTCTAACAGAACCTGCTGGAGAGAAACGGACTTTAAAGTCAGGTTTTTATCAGAGATGGTGGCTTTAACAGGAAACCAGACACATGTGAAGCTTTAAAAATATTGCATTTTATGCACCAAACTTCACTGTAATAACAGGAACAAAAAAAAATTCAGTGTTTGTTTTTAAGATTGGAAAGTAATTCCCTACTGATTTTTTTTTGTATCAAATCTGTCAAAAGGTTTTTTATTATTATTATTTGATAGATCTCACACATTGACTTGTTTATGGGCCATAAACTGGTTTCCTCTGACTGGGAGTAATGCAGGTTCTCTGAACTTGCCGCTTTGACCATTTATGCTTTTTTTTTGTCTCCAGTATGAAGATGATCATGGAGGCAGAGGCTGAAGCTGAGTCCATAAGGGTGAGTCACTGATCATCACTCGCTGACATCCAGCAACAGAAGGCAGATTCTTAGAAAATAATGGTACCCTTGACTTAATATTTAGTTGCACAACCTTTTGAGGCAATGACTGCAATCAAATGATTCCTGTAACCGTCAATTAGACGTCTGCTCCTCTCAGAGGGTATTCTGGTTCACTCTTCATGAGCAAACTGATCCATGTGTCTCTTCTAGATGGTCGGTTTCAGCTCCTTCTAAAGATGCTCAATAGGATTTAGGTCAGGGCTCATAGAGGCCCTTTCAGAACAGCCCGATGTTTTCCTCTCAATTGTGGGATTTTCTTTCATTAAACTCAAGTTTTGTCCATTATTGATCCGTTCTTCCAGATCCAGGTGTTTTTCTGTTAAATTCTGTGTCGGTAAGTTTCTATTTCTTGTTTACCTGTTCAGGTTAAAGGTGAGGCTGAGGCGTTCGCTGTCGAGGCGAAGGGTCGTGCCGAGGCGGAGCAGATGGCGAAGAAGGCCGAGGCCTTCAGCCAGTATAAAGATGGAGCCATGGTGGACATGCTGCTGGAGAAACTGCCTCTGGTGAAACACACATTTCTACTAAACATCTTTAAACTCATTTTAATTTGAAACATCTGGAATAGCTGATGTAGCTCTACCCAGTTATTCTTACTTTGTCTTTTTCGTTTTATTAAACCAGTGATTTCCAGACTCAGGGTTACTTCAGGTCACATATCAACACGTGGTTTCTAAAGATGCTTTATAGAAATAAAGCTAGATCATTTTGCTTTTGTGACTAAATGATTATGGTAAGGCATATTTAAGCTATAAAGAGCTAAATTTCAGTTTTATATTGTTAAAACACTTTGAAGTACTGTATTTTATTGGTTATCTTTTAACTCTTCACTAGTACTAGTAGTTATTCTTATACATTTTTTAAGGTCCACGTTTGTGTGACAGTTTTTTCTATAATCTCTTGCTGCTGTAAACACCAGAATTTCCCCATTGTGGGAAAAAAAAGGGATTTTCTCTACTAATCTATTCTAGAACAATATAAATAGGAGCTTAAAGGGGAACGCCGTTTTTTTTTGTTTACATTGGCCCCTTGATTTTACGTTATTACACCATGTTCTACTCACCCATATGAGTTTTGTGTCATTTGGAGCCGTTCTGGAGATATTCCGTTAGGTTATATCCAGGTAACGTCTTTCTATGGGCAACGACTTGAAGGCACAAACTAAACTGTTTATAATTTATTCTTTATGGTACGCCAGCATTCAGAACATGTAGGTGAATCACTGTCCCTCAGACATCTGCGGTTATATTTTTTATATTTATATCTTTTAAAAACAAAGCGGCGTGTGTATGACGTCATCCACGCTTGCGCACTGGAGTCGTAACAGGAAGCCCGGGCCACAGGCGACTACGCTTTACCCCTTCTATTCATTCGGCGAGCTAATCTGAATCGTTCAGTTCCATTTGGAGAGCGAGATCATCTGTGGTAGCAGCACTATACTGGAAAAAATCTAAATCTAAATAAGTCATCATTTCTTAAAATAAGTGCATTTGTTCTTGAATTGAGGAGGTAAAAGAGACATTTTGCCAATGGAACAAGAAAATTTAGATTTAAAATAAGAAAACACAGCTGCATTGTCTTATTTCAAGGGCATATTTTCGAATTGTCTTATTTTAAGAGTAAAAGATCTCATTCAATTGGCACACTATCTTATTTACCTACTCAAATGAGGAGTAAATACACCTAATTTAAGACATTTTTACTTATTTCTAGATCATTATTCCAGTGTAGACATCTTCCAGGCATGTGAGGAAAACTAGCAGCAGTTCAACGGACAGGATGAATGAACGGTAGCCGGGGCGCTGATGATGTCATACATGCGCCACTTCGTTTTTAAAAGATATAAAAAATATAACCGCAGATGTCTGGGGGACAGTGATTCGCCTACATGTTCTGAATGCTGGCGTACCATAAAGAATAAATTATGAACAGTTTAGTTTGTGCCTTCAAGTCGTTGCCCATAGGAAGATCTTACTTAGATATAACTTAACGGAATATCTTCAGAACAGCTCCAAATGACACAAAACTCATATGGGTGAGTAGAACCTGATGGAATAACGTAAAATCAAGGGCCAAATGTAAAAAAAAAACGGCGTTCCCCTTTAATGCTTTTTGGACTGCTGTAATACTCCTGTTTAATTGATATTGGAAAGTTTATTTTTTGTTTTTTTGTTTTTTAGTTCCATGGAAATTAGAAATATAGTTTAGAACCTCTGATGATTTTCAGTTTTAAGATGTTATGACATCTGTTCTCCACCAGATGGCAGAAGAGATCAGCAGGCCTCTGTGTGAGGCCAACAAAGTGACCATGGTGTCCAGTGGAGGAGATGTAGGAGCAGCCAAGCTGTCTGGAGAGGTTCTGGAAATCATGACTCGCCTCCCTGCAGCAGTGGAGAAACTGACCGGAGTCAACATCTCTCAGGTGATTCATTCAACCATAAGCTGCCCTCCATCCATGAAGAACTAACTTATAAGCTGTTCCCATATTTTCCTTTCTTCTTCATCATCCAGGTTACCTCTCGGACCGGCTGAAGGGAATCAAACCGATGACCTTGCTTACAGATCCGATTTCTGTCTGTCTGCATCTGTCTTGATCCCCTGCTCTGATCCTCTGTAGCTCCATCCCTCCTGGTTTATCATGTTGATCTTTTAGGAACCTTATTTCCCCTCCATATTATGGTTAATGATGTCGAGCTTTATCTGAGATAAATGATTAAACTACTGGCATCACATTTATAGCTGATGTTTATGGTTTAAGTGGCAAATGGTGCAAACTTCCTTCACTGTGTTAAAGTCTGTAACTACCCTTTACTTTGTTAGATTACAGAATCCAGACACTTTAGTGGTCTGTTCAGGTGTTTGCAGCACTAAAAATAACTTTTTTAGTCATTTCTAGAAGAGTTTAAAGCTTTTAAACCTTTAGTTTTTATTTTTGTGGATGATTCATTGGTCAAAGGAGAATGATTAATCTGTAAATGTTTTTATTAGACTGAAAAGAGTCAAAGGAAACTGCAGAAATCCAAAGAAGAACCTTCTGAAGGTTGATAAAGACGGTTCTAAGGTCTGTTTGCTCATAAATGGAACTTATAGAAATAAAGGGTAGCTCAGACTTTTTCACAGGGCTGTTTTACTGCTTTATTTTCAGAGGGTTATGTTTACAGCACGTCTTTTTATATGTTTACCATCTTAATATGCAATTTTTTTCTCTCTTCAGTTAAACACTTTTATCATGATAGATTTAATCTAACTGCAGATTTTATGGCTCTTTTCTGATTAATCGATCTTTGTGATGAAGAAATACTCAACAAATGTAGCTCATTAAAGTTTGTTTTTTTAAGATTCTTTTCTTTCTTTCATTTTCTGCCACTTGCTTGTTTTTCGGTCCCCCCTATGTGCTTAAACCAGGCCTGTGTGTGTTTACCTCTAACACTGCCCCCCTCCCTGTCTACTGCCTTGCTGCCAAACCTTAAGTGCATCTTAGCATGGACGTCTCATACTAACATGAAAACATCCTCTTCTCAATTTCAACAGGTTTTTTTTTTTTATCTTTTCTCTGATGGTCAGAATTATTTATTTACTCATTTAGGTTTTTCTGAAAGTTGAACAGAAATGTTCAAGTCAGTCTATAATCATTTGTGATCTGATTGCTTTTTGTTCTTTATTTGTTTGGTTTTAAGAGCAGGATAAGTTCCTCCAGGTTCACCAAACCTGCTGCAATTTCAATCAGACTTTAAACGATGCAAATACATCTTCTGCAAGATTTTTCCAGCTACAAAATGTTTGATGAGAAATTCTGTATTAATCAGGAACATTACCTTAATGTTGTCCTTTAATGTAGACATTATTTGTTCAAAACTATTAATAAAGAAGTATAAAGAATAGTTCAGGGAATTCATTTCTCGTTTCAAAAATCAAACAGAAAAAATGAAACATTGTCAAAAACATTGGTACTTAAAAAAGAATCAATAATCAAAAGCTGTTTTTGGATAGAACAATAATTAGAAGTGATATTTTTAATTAAAGATGCGGTTTTTTTGCATATTTTAGCTATATATTGTTAATTTTAGATTCCTGGATTATTTGCAGATTATTAAATAATACCCAAGACAACCTTAAAATGTTATCAAATAGTTTTATGTCGGAGTTATTTATATTTCAATTTTTTGCACTGTTATTGAACATTGATTCAGTGATTTTGAGAGTGAGAAAAAGTAAGTTACTCATCTTGATAAAAAATAGTTTTAATACCTTTAATTTGTTACATTTTTCTTTAATTTATGGTATTACAGTGTTGAATATTTTCTAATATTGTTTAAAACATAATTATGGCGAAAACCCTACAAATGACTTGGAATAGGATTTATTTACTAAATGTTTGTGGTTGAGCAACAGAAATGAAAAAAACAAATAGAAATTTGGACATGTGATTTATATTTATATATATTTAAGACATTCATCCATTTTTTACTTGTCTCCAGTTTGATTCAACTACCGGTAATCTACAGAAAACAAAGGAGGAACCTCTAGTTATCCTATTTATGGTCAAGTTATTTTGCAGCTCTGAAACATTTGGATCCTAACAAACAAAAGATGCATTTATTAAACATATGTGATGTGGAGTTTAGAGCATTGCATTGAAATAATGAAGTTAACTCTGTTAAAATCACTAGAGAGGTGAAGCCCAGACTCTGAACTATGAGACTAAAGTGATAAACCGGTCATGTGCTGCAGCTTAATGGGAGAAACCAACATCTCTTTAATGAGGATCTATAAATGTTTTCAATAATTAGCTTGAGTTAAATTAATAATGTGTTATTATTTAGTGCATCTACCCCTGGAAAATCCTGAAACATCACTTTAGTCATGACAGATAAGCTGACATGCCTTAAATCATAAACCTGTCTGACCGTCAGCCTCTACCTCAACTATAGAACCAGTTGCATGAAATACTAAACTATGTATGTTCATCTTTTAATGCATTCTCTAAGTTAAAACCTGTTAGCTTCCAGCTTTCTTTATTTTGCAATTTTCCTTCCTATTTATATTGTAAATTTATGTTTAAAAGAGCTGTATGCAAAATGTATTCCAAATATGTCTGCCTCTTTTTCCCTCCCCTCCAGTCCTGACGCCTCTTCTTGTTCTGTGTAAACTTTGCACTGCTGAATACACTGAAGCCAAACCAAATCAAATGGCTCTTCAACTGAATATTCTATTTCTATGTTGTCGCTTTAGTGCATGCATCAACACCTATAACACTTGAATTGAACTGTATTGTATTCTTAGAAACTATGTTTATAGCTAAAACACAGCTGGCAAGCGTCACTGTGGATTTAAAACGTTTCCTGGAAATGTTCCTTTGCTTCATGCTCACAGTTTAGTCATATAGAAGAGGCACTATGTGAGGATTATATGTACTTTATGCAGAATATCTTTGGTACGGTGTCCATGTAGCATTGTCTGTTTCACATGTCGACTCTACTAACCTTAAAGATAAGCTATGTGTGAGTATAAATGTAATAAATCTATACTGAGTTTATTTATGTTCTGTCTTGTTTATAAAAAAGATTGGATAGAATCACAATGGAAAATATTATTGCTGTTTGAGCATTTCTGGTATTTTGTGTTTTAATAAAATCTACTGTCCTGTATCCAAAACACTGAATAAATTTCTAAAGGAAACAGATACGTTTTTGTATGTTTGTGGTTTATTGTTAAATTTGATTTTTTTTTTTTTTTGGTCTGGTTTGTACATCTTTTGGTTCTTTTGTTTCATTTTCCTTGTTTTATGTTTTATAAGTCTTAGAATTATCTGCATCCCCTTTGTTTTGAACCGTATAACTAAAACTCAAAAACTATCCTTTTTCAGTTGTGTTTTTGAGGATAATTGAGTTCAACATTTTACATTAAAAGTACAAAACAATGTTCTGATTCTATCAGAATGGAAAATTGACTTAGAAAATGTAATCATGTTATTTGATACATCACATATGAGCACTCAAAGATGTAAACAAAGACTAAAAGAAAAGTTGTTTTTTATAGCTTTAGAGGGACATTTCATTTTTGCTCATTTTTGCTCTGTTTTTCACAATTGCTAAAGTTGTATCACATTGAATGGAAAGTATTTATGAACATCAATTTTTGTCACAGATTTATTAAGCCTGAACAACCAGCTTGTTCTCTGGAATCAGCTGGTATTTACCTCCATTTGTCTTCCCAGCCACCCAGTTCCTGCAACTGCTGATAAAAGTTTCCCTGTAGCATTATGTGAGGCATGGTCTCTGCTTCACATTAGGTAAATAACATAAAGGAAAAACATTTTATTTTGGCTGTTTTACATAAATCTGGCCATGAATAGCTTTCCTTTCAGCAAGTTCTCAAACATGTGCTGTGTATCCCTGTCCCTTTCCATTTCCAGATGTATGATCAACTAGAACTTTAGGAATTATTTAAATATTGGTTGATATATATATATATATATATATATATATATATATATATATATATATATATATATATATATATATATATATATATATATATATATAAAAAAATCTAATAATAATTACATTAAAAGCTATATATATATATAGCTTTTTACTATAGCTATATATATATAAATAAATCTATATAATTTTATATACATATATTTGTGTGTGTATATATATATCTATATATAT